AATTGATGGTCATTAATTAAAGGTCATATTGTCTATCTGTTTGTAAATGATATATTTCCATTGGTGATGTGATTTTTACCATTACTATTATTATATTGAGTAGACGGTTCCTGTGTTAAATAAGTACGATTGCTACTACGTACTTGAGAAGATGGATTAAACAAATATTGCGAATTGGACGAATTTGTATTAAAATGATTAGGCATTAAAGAATGTTTATATTGAAATTTTGAATTTGGATGTTGTGTACATTTTTCAAAATTTATAGTTCCTTTTGGTTATTTTTTTAATTAAACCATGTTCTTCTAATACTTGAAACGCATCCCTAATATTAGTTAATTTTGAATTTATAATTATAGTAGCCTTATTAATATCAATTTTATTTAAAAAAGTTCGTAATATAAATTTGTCTACACTGAATAATTCGCTGGTACCCCTTCGCACTCACCTTGCACACACGCACTTTCTTTCCGCTTTAAGGAGAGACTTTGTTTTTCAAATTTAAAAGTTACAAACTTCCGCTTAGTTTATTCACGAGTTTTTAATGGTTTAACAATTTAAGTTTATGTGTAGGTATGTATATGTTCACGTATATAAATTAAAAAATGAAACATTTAAAAGGATGTTCAAAATACTAATTTTAAGGAGGGGCGTGCGCGTAGACTGGCGTTAATAGCTGAACTGCCGTGTCGCTGATTTGGCACGATGATGGGAAGCGGCCGTGCGCGCTCGTTAATCATTATTTCGGAGTTCACTTGACACCGCTGCGGCCAAAGGATGCGCACATGGCCGCTGAATTAAGTTTGTGGTTCGCCTTCAACCGGGTTTTCTTTGTCAAATTCAAATTTTTCGTTCATTTTACAACAATTTACAAGTTAGAAAGATACTTAAAATAGCTCACTATGTCATTGTTGATCGCTGTGGGGACACGTTTTTATAATTCGTCATACGACTCTTTGATTCCGAAATTTTTAATCGTTGCATGTTTCACATAATCCCATGATGGTATTGGTCCCAGTGTTCGAAGAATATAATAATAATAGGTAATAATAATAATAATAATAATAATAATAATAGTAATAATAGGTAATAATAATAATAATAGGTAATAATAATAATAGTAGGTAACAATAACAATAATAATAATAGGTAATAATAATAATAATAATAAAATAAGAGAAGTTAAAAGTAAATTTTTAGTGGGGCGGTTAGGAAAACGCACTAAAATAGCTGTATTTCAAAGACATGTTGTGAATACACTAATAAATGAATTAAAACTTTTCTGCTTTCAGATGGGTGATTATTCGGTTTCTCTAAAAGCGCCTGGCCGTAATAAACATTTCCGCGTACACGTTGAAAACAATATGTATTGTATTGGCCAACGTAAATTCCATACACTAGATCAATTAGTAGATCATTACCAAAGAGCACCGATCTATACGAATAAGCAAGGTGAAAAATTATATTTAGTACGACCGCTGCCAAAAGCTAATGGCACGTAAATAATCTACATTCGCGACAGCAGAGAAGCATAGTCCTCGTGATGTGTTCTTATTTCATATGTCATAAGACGGGAGCTACTTTATACACAATGCATATATATTTATTGATAGAACAGGTTGCTAATGCCTGTGGTATCGCAAACAAATTTAGTTATATAATTTTACCGTTACACATTATTTTAATACAAAATATGATATTACTACAATGATTAATGTGTAAATGAAAGGCTATTCAAAATGATAACATGAAAAAGAAAAAAATGATAACAATTAGAAATTCAGCACCGATGAATATCGTCAAATTATCACAATTTAGTGCGAAATATTAGCTATTTTTTAACAATAAAAAGCAAAGCGGCTATCTCTTAGAAGCAACTACCAAAAACGAGAACTTAAATTTATGTATATGTATTGCAAAATTTATGAGTCACTTAATGCATATTATAATAAATATATATATATTTAAAACCTATCATGAATAAAATGTCACAGTAATATATAACATAATTAATTTTATTTTCATCAGAATATTTTATTGTATCATTTGGTCTTCTCTAACGGCTTTAAGAAAGTTTTGAAGAAGATAAGCACGGAAAATAGCAGGTTAATTAAATTGGTAACAATTTTCAAGTAGCCAATATCCAACATTAAAAAAAAGTAAGTGCGCCTGGGCCACACTGTAGAAGCGAAACTTACGTTACTTATCTATCTATACATACACACATCTGCTTTTGCTTAAAGTTATATTTTTTCGCTTTTTTTCTATCACTGTAGATCCCTATCTCTACCACTGTTCGTTTTAATAACATTCATGTTATTCTTTTTTTCCATTATCTTCATTTTTATCTTCATACTCTATCGATAACAAAATCGATTATTACGTCCATCAAAATATGGATAACAAAATCGATGACAAATTCGATAAAAATTTCAATAGCAACATCGATAATACCATTGGTAGCTAAATCGATAACAAAATCGATAAAAATCGTTAACAGAATCGATAAATATCGATAACAAAATCGATAAATATCGAAAACAAAATCGATAAATATCGATAACAAAATCGATAAATATCGATAACAAAATCGATTTATATCGATAACAAAAGCGATAAATATCGATAACAATATCGATAAATATCGATAACAAAATCGATAAATGTCGATAACAAAATCGATAAATATCGATAGCAAAGTCGATAAATATCGATAACAAAATCAATAAATATCGATAACAAAATCGATGAATATCGGTAACAGAATCGATAACAAAATCGATAAATATCGATAACAAAATCGATAATAATCGATAACAAAATCGATAATTATCGATATCAAAATCAATCAATATCGATAACAAAATCGGTAAATATCGATAAAAAATCGATAAATTTCGATAACAAAACCGATAAAAATATCGATTATTTAATCGATAAGTGGAGAACCTCGAAAATCTCTAAAATCCCAAAATAGTTCCCAGATTGAGTCTCTGTGTCTCTCTCTTTATCCTTTTCTCTTTAATTACCTTTATTTTAATCTTTCTTCCCCTATCTTCATCTTTACTTTTATCGGTATCCTCATCCTCATCTTTGTTTTTACTTTTATGTTTACCATTTTCTTCATCAACATATTCCCCTTCATCTTTGCCCTTATATATATAAGTAAAGTGTTTAAATTTACCTTGGTCTTCGTTTTTACCTTTATCTTTACACATATTTGTTTTTGAATTTGTTCTTATTTTTACCTTTGCCTTTATAATTTTCTTTATCTATGTACGTACTCACCTTTACTTTCATTCTTGTATTGTTAGTTCTAAGTGTTATCCTCAAACCTTTTATTAGCAAGTTTTTGTTAAATTCATACCATATGCATACACACAAGAAGTACTTATTTCAGCCCCAACCATTTCCGTTGCATCATTTCCGTTGCACCATTTCTGTGTGCAATTTCCGCTGAATTTGCCAATTTACTCCCACCCAACCAACCGCCGCTAAAGAAGTTTCACTTCAAAAATCTGCTAAAGCTCTAAATTTGCGCTTCGGAATGCAAAACAAGTGCACTGAAATCCCGTTAATTGCAACCTTATGTGAAAACTTCAGGTTTTTACTATCATTACAATTTTTTAAGAGTGAAAGTAAGAATTGAATTTACTTCATTTATTTGCAACAAGTAATACCCACTACATATTGCACGTTTAATAATATACAAAATTATTTCCAAATTTAAATTTTGTGGGAAAACGCAATCAAAGTTTGCTCAACTCATAAAGTTGGTGTACCAAAAGACAGATATCTTCGCCATTTTTAAGAAGTTTAGTTATCTGTTAGTCAACATATTTTCCTCGTCAAGCTTATTATAGACCAAGAGCTTATGACCAAAAATCCCATCATACTTCAGATCGATTGAAATTTTTTGCGAGCTTAGCTTGTTAATATATAAATCGAGATCCGCAGGCCTGGCTGCTGAACAGCAGCCTTGACCATGCGTTTTAGCTATTAAAGATGTCAATAATAAACGATTACTCAACATACTTTAGATGACTTGAAATTTTGGTAGAAATTTATTTACAGTATATAGAAAATGCATTCAAGGCTGCCTGCCCATTCTTATGGTCTTAAAATACTGCCAGACCTTGTTGAAAGTGTATTTTGCAAATATAAGTCAACATACTTCAGATGGGCTGTCCTTTTAACAGCACATTAGTAATATTCGGGCATGTGCTGCAAATCGTACGATTTGAAATCGGTGCGATTTACAAAATTTATTAGGGAGAATTCTTATCAAAACGGGGAAAAATTGCCTCTAATATATTCTTCGATATGACGCCCTTTTGTGTTTCTATCAGTTTTTATTTGAAATATTTATTACTTGCATTAATTATATTAAAATATATTTTGCAAATCGCATCGATTTCAAATCGTACTTGCAGCTTATGCCTGATTGTAAATAGATGAAATTTCTACAGCCAGCCCCTTCTGATGGCCTTAGAGTACTGCCAGACTATGTTGAAAGTGTATTGTGGCAAGTATAACTCAACATACTGCAGATGACTTGAAATGTTGATGAAATTTTATTTACAGTGTATAAGTTAACTTTTTCAAATTAAATGCCTGATCTGCTCAGTTTTACACGCGCATGAAAAGTAACTAAACACCACATCCGCCGGGAACGAACATAACAACAACGTGCACTGGCAAACAGACGTTGGAACAATAATAGCGCGAATTCTGCAGACATCGCTTCAACTACAAGTTACTGCTGTTACGCGGCCAATCCGTGTGACCAAATAACAACTCTAGCTGTAGGGCAAATTTACTTTGTTAAAAATATTTTGTAGTTAGTTCTGAAGTAGCAATCAAAGAATAAAGGCCAGAAAAATTAACTAACGGGATTTTATTCAGATGGCGCCCGACGCGAATTTTAAAGTCGTACTAAAGTAGTACGCGAATTTTAAAGTTGTCCTAAAGCATTAGGAAACAACCACCAACATACCAACGCCTGTAGTACTAGTTCGCGGCGCCCTTCACAAGGAAATCCAAGAGGACCTCAGTAAGCCGAATTTAAACGGACAAACAGGACACATCCAAATGGCAGAGTGGAGGATGGTTAGATCCCCCCTTCGTCATTGAACTACAATTATTTACTTTTGAATTAATAACACAATACTATTTTATCCTTCTGATTAATTTTTTTTTATTTCAGACGGATGACAATGAATATATAAGTAGTCCACTTGCAAACAGCGCACTATGGGAAATTTTACCCTACTTTGTAGCCAAAATTCGAAAAGTTAAGACATCAATATAAAACTTAGCCCAGTCGTAGGACTAGAAGTAGTTTCCTTGCCGCGCAAAAATTAGCCCGTAATGGTCGCACCTCCAAAAAATAGCGTAATGGTCACACGGGGTTCAGTGGACCCCAACCCAATAAACAGATGCCTCGTAAGTTCTATTTTAAACAGCGACTCGAATCCTCCACTGACCTTGAGTTTAAAACTTTGTTATCTGACAGGTTTTTTTCCAACTTTTAAATTATAACACCGTGAATTATTTCATAAAACTCATGATTTTGTACCAAGTAGTTACCTAAGAAAAATTATAATTTCTTAAATATCGCACAAAATCGCAGTATAAGATTATGGCTAAATAAGAGATCAGGGACTATTCTACCGATTTATGATGAGCTTTTTTTAAACGTTTTTAAACATTTTTTTTAAAACACTAAATAAACTTTTTTTTTTAATTGTACAATTTCACTTTAAAGTCACTTAAATGCTGACGTTTCTTTGCCACAACCTTTAAACTATAATACAACTTTTAATTGGTAAATATTCTGCTAACCGTCACTCTTTCTTTCCACTTTTCACTTTTGAAAAGCAGCAAATAGATTGCGAGATACACGCATTTGAGAGTGGCACAAAATCGAGCTACACATTTTTCGTTTACAGAAAATTTCGAAACTAGCTGTTTGAGGGTTACCAAATCAACGGTAAGTCAATTTATCTAAAAACAGAGTATACAGTTTTTTACTTTGAAGTATTCTCTGTAAGATAAGACAAAAAAAAATTATTTCAAGCAAGTCGAGAAATTGACTTTTGGCCACAAAATAGGCTCAAATTTCCCATAGTGCAGCGTTATGTGATTTTATAAAAGTAAGCCATGAATTAAAAAAAAAAAACGTCTACGACAACAAGTAAAATCCGAACTATATCTTTTTTTATTACCTGAAAATTATGATAAATAAGAGCCTAATACCATTAAAAAAAATAAAATAAATTGAACCAGTAACTTTTGCATAGCTAGCTTTTTTTAGCTTTTCGCGTTCTCTCCTCTAGGAAGATTGGTTTGCTTCTTTTTTGCGACCTCTTCCACTAGGCACCGAAACTACCACGTTTTCTTGCAGTTTTCTAAGTTCATACGAAGAGAAGACTTTTGAAAGTGTATAAATAAGTATTATAGCGACTTTTGCAAGAGTAGTTAACATTTCATGCTATTTTTTTCAGAATATAGAAAAAAATTTCACTCTGCTGTTAGTGGACATGAAACTAGGAATGTTCGATATTTAAGAAAGTATCGATATCATGAATCGATTTAATTCATTGCATGTCAAATCGATATGGCGATATATCGGGCTGAACAATATCGATATCGGAAAAATCGATGTTGAAAATCCTACTCCCAATTGAATGGAATATTAAACCTGCTTATCAACTCAACTAATTGTGTTATTTCCATCTTGTATATTTACTGAGGATTAAAACGGCATGCCGGTCGATTCAAGCGGTTTGTCAAACTTAAGAGCTAAATAAATCACACAAGCTGTTGATTAAACCTACTTTAGTATTTTTCCATACACTTCTTTGTAGATGAAAAATAAATTTCAACTTAAATATCGATATTGCGGGATGTCTTCGATATATCGACCTTGGAATATCGATTCAAAAAATCGATTATCGTGCGTTCAAAT